TGGTGAGCAGTCATGCTCACATTGAGCCTGCGAGTTAGACGGCAGGTCCCAGAGCCTGGGCCATGGCCGACGGTGGCACCTTCCCCAGGCATGCTCACACCCCATGCACCTGCAGGCACCAGCTGGGTGTGTCCCATGCTTGCAACTCACTGCCCCTTATTTGCTGGGACCTGGTTTTGCATTTATAACAACGTTAGGAGAGGAGGGGAATAGATAGGGTGCAGGCAGAAAGCTTCCATCTAGGGGTGGTGTCGCATGTATGACTGACTTCAGCCCCAGACTTCCCAAATACCCCTGAAAACTGTAACAAAGGGATTTGGAGAGGAATTCTGACCTGATGCTCTGTGTATGTCTTATCTTAAGACCTGCAAAAAAGACCTGCCTTGCTGTGCCCTTGAAGAAGAAGAATTCAGTCGTTGACACCCAGGCCATATCTGTCACCCCTGTGCCTTCTGCCACCCTCCAGGTCTGTGAGGAATGCAGCATGTATGCGGCGTATGACCCCATCCCGCCTTGTTTCTGTGACACAAACGAGGGGCTCTGACTTGGGCACGGTGGGCATGCAAATTTTACAAGCATTATTTCTGTTGTAGTAGAATGTTTTATTATTCAAGTTCTATGGTGTTTACATTAAATTATGTACTGTTAACATTATTTTTATGTAATTTTAAATAAATGTGAAATACTGAAAGTTATCCTTTTTGCCTCCAATATTTTTCATCATTATATCAAATTACCTTTCCTTACATTGATGTTCTACCCACTATTGGATTGGTAGATCTAGCTTCAATTTTAAAAAACAAAGATGCTTGGTAGGAGCATTTGCTATGAAAACAGTATGACTTTTGGTCTTGCTGTAAGCAAGAACTTGGAGGCTTCTCACCATCCTGTCAGGAGAAACTCATATTTTTACCTTGTCTCCAAATTAAGGACCTTATCTTACCTTTGCAGTATCTCGTTGCAATCTTATGGGATGAGTACTATTCTCAATTCAAAGACAAGGAAAGTGAGCCTTGGAGAAATTCAATTCCTCAGTGAGATGAAACCAGGCCACTTCTTAGGTGTTCTCATGCACTTGGATTTTCTCTCATCCTAATGAGCTCCTGAGAAGACCTGAGTCTCCTCTGTACCCCCAGTGAAAGGCACAGGTCACTCTCACAAGGCATGCCCAGCCCCAGCCAACATAAGAAGTCCTTGTTCTGGCAGGAACCCAGCAGAGCTGTGCTGATTCCTTGGTGACTTTCCAAACTTCCTGGTGTCACAGGTGCTGGCCTTGCCACTGTAGCATCAAGTGTGAGGCCAAACCCCTGACCAAGGGATGCACTAGAAATGGATCCCCTGAGTCAAAGTCTAGAACGTGCTCCCCCCAAGGAACGCCAAGTCCTGGAGCCCAGTGAGGGGTTTCAGCCCGTAGGAAGAACAACATGGAAGCAGAGAGGGCTGCCACCCACGAGATCCCATCTTCACCTGGTTCTCATCTCCCCAGAGCTGCTGAGAAGATTCGTAAAAATTAGTCATATCATCCCCTGCCCAACGGGGTCCCACTGATCCAAACCCTCTCTCTGGGCTAAGGCTTAAAGGTCCAGTGATGGCGCCCCAGTTATGAACTGACCCAACAGTAAAGCAAAGACACAACCCTATGTCAGTCCCATGGGTGAGCACTCAGACGTCTATGCTGTGTGTGTTGGGAATTCTCTGGTGAAGAGCTTTCGCCATGGTGCTACCTGCAAAGATTCTGGGAATGAGCGAGGGGTGCCAACACCAGCTCTGAGGGGAGTGCTGACGCCAGCCAGCCACACGCCACACTGTTCATTCCCACAGAAATCTACCTCGTGGGTGGTTAGAACAGACATGTTTCCTTAGAAGCCAACAGGAAGCTTATGAAGCCAGATAATTAGGAAACACAGAGAAGAATAAAAGCCCGTTAGTCCTCAAGTCTTCCCAGCTCCTTGCAAATGGGGATGTAAGAAGTCTCACCCCTTTGGGCCTTTTAATTTCATCTCATTTAGCAAAGTTGAATTTGACTGAGCCTGAAGGTCAGAAAATGAAAGCAAATTTTTCAATCAAATCAGAACACTTCTTACTAGGAGCCACTACCAGAAATTTAAAAGCTTTTGATAGCCACTAGTGGCTGGACTATGGAGAAAAACATTCTTACATGATCTTAGTGGGAGATGGAATTAGTACTAATTTCATTTGGGGCCATATGACAATAGATGTAAAATACAAAAACCATCTAGAATCTTCCATTATGAAGTAGAGTTTTTTTTTTTTTTTTGCTCTCATTAAATTAAAACTTCTTCTGTTTTGTTAAGATACATTTTACATGGCAGATAATTCACCTGTTTAAAGTGTACAGCTCCAAGGTTTTTAGTAGAATATTTTCTTCATTCCCAAAAGAAGTCCTGTCCCCATTAATAGTCACTCCCTGTTGCCTCCAGTACTCTGTCTTCTTGTTGTTGTTGTTGTTATGTGCCATTGAGTCGGACCCGACCCACAGCGACCCCTCCTTGGGTTTCCGAGGCAGTAACACTACGGAAGTAGATTGCCTATCTTCCCTCCGAGGAGTGACTGGTGGGTTTGAACTGCCAGCCTTCTGGTTAGCAGTCAAGTGCCTTAGCACTACACTACCAGAGCTCCCGTACTCTGTCTTAGGTGACCAGTAATCTACTTTCTGTCTCTACAGATTTGCTGATTCTGAACGTTTCATAGAAATGAAATCTTTTGTAACTGGCTTCTTCAACTTAGCGTGTATTCAAAGTTCATCCATGTTGTAACATACATCAGTACTTCATTTCTGTTTATGGCCCAATCATAATCCCTTTTATGGATAGATCACATTTTATTTATCCATTCATCTGTTGATGGACATTAGCATGGTTTCCACTGATACTGCTATGAGCATTCATGTACAAATTTTCCATGAACATATTTTTTTATTTCTCTTGAGTATATGCTTAGAGTTGCTGAGTCATATGGTCACTCTATGTTTAATCTTTTGAGGAATTGTCAAACCCTCTTCCACAGCACTGCACTATTTTACATTTCCACCATCAATGTGTGTTGTTGTTGTTATATGCCATCGAGTCATCTCTGACTCATAGCAACCTTATGCACAACAGAACAAAACACTGCCCCCTCCTGTGCCAGCCTCAAGATCCGCAACATACCTGAGCCATCAGCGTATGAGGGTTCCCAGTTCTTTAGTCCTCACCGACACTTGTCTTTTGTATCTTTTTTAATCTTGCCATTCCAGTTGGTGTGAAGTGGTTTCTCATTGTGGTTTTAATTTGCACTTCCCTGATGCCTAATGATGGTGAAGATCTCTTCATGTGCTTATTAGTAGCTCTTGTTTGGAGAAATGTTTATTCTGACCCTTTGCCCATGTAAAACTGGGTTATGTCTTTTTATTTGTATTGAAAGAGTTCTGCATATATTTTAGATACAAAGCTTTTTGTTTGTTTGTTAAAAGCCATCTTTCTTGAGACTTTGCTCTTTTTTGAACTGTGTATAGAGAAATCATAAATACTTTCTCCCCAGGAAGACTAATTACCGTTGGAGTGAACTAAATACCATTCATGATTAGCTGTGAGCTTGTGTAACCATCACATGTGGGCGGTAAATGCCCAGTCACTGGCAAAGGAGGGCATTGACTTTGCTCAGTGCCAACTGTGCTCTCTACCAGGCGAATCAAGTTGCAGGGCCAGCTACGGAGGCACCAGCCTGAGTGAGGGCCATAAGCCCAGATCCTGCAGCTCAGTTCCAATGACAACTGCACCTGGACAACGGGAAGGCCAACAAACAAGAGGACCTGAGTCATCTTTTTCCACTACCAGTAAATGGGAGCTTTGGGCTCCTAACCAGGGTGGGAGAACCAGTGAAGTCTCTGGCCACATTGGGGGTCTCTGTGGAGAACATTCAGCTGCTCCACAGTGATGATAAGAGCTGATGGCTACATGCTTGGCGCTGGCTCCCACAGGCCCTGCAAGGTTGGGACTATCATTACGGGCACAGGGAGATTCAGAACTTGATTGAGGTCATACAGCTGGTAAGTGAAATAACCAGGATTAGTGCCAGCTAGTCCAGTTCCAGAGTCTAGGGCTGAAACACTGACCTAGTGGCTCCTCACTTTGTGGTCCACTAAAACCAACAGGAGAAGCTCCTGAAAGCCCAGATTCCCAGCTTGCACCCCATACACCTAGATCACAATCTCTGAGGTAGAAGTCGGGCACCAGCATTCTCTTTTTTCCTTTATTTTTAAATTTTAAGCTTTGTATTTTTGAAGAATTACAGGTCCATAAGTACTTTTAAAAGTGCCCAGGTGATCCCAGTGCAAGCCAAGCTTGAGAATAAGCACCACACCCCAGCCTCTCTCCAGGCTTCACAGAACTGCCCCCAGGAGATTCCTGCTTCCGGCTGGGGAAGCGGGGGGGTGGGGGGGTGGACAGGGGAGGCTTTCTGAAGGGTACATCTGGCTGAGCTTTGAACAATGGGTATTACTTGGAAAGGAAGAGATGAGAGTCAGTGAGGAGGAAGCACGCCTACTGGAGGCAACAGCCTGAGGAGGCAGAAGAGTTAGAAAGGACAGGCTGGCACAGTGGGTCAGCGGTACTGGCCAAGGGACTGGGAAAGGAGGCTGGAGCGGAATGAGGAAGCGCCTGGAATGGTAGTTCCACAACTGGTGTAGCGCTTTTCTGAGCCCCACCTGGAGGCATCTGGCAGCTGCAGGTAGACTCACTCACTGCCCTGACAGAAGATGGCCAGATGAGAACTTCAGTAGGCCACCCCTATGGGACAGAGGGAGGTGGGATACCCATCAAAGGGGAGACATGTTAAGCTCTATGCACAAGACAGAAATTGAAAGAAGTCTTTATCTTGATTTACATTCTTGGTCTCCTCATTTCCCCTTCCATTATTCCACACTGCAGGGGTTACCTGGATACCTCTGAAGGTTCCCTCAACAGCTCCAACTACCCAAAGCAGCATCCTATTGCAACTACCCAAAGCAGCTGGCCTATTACATGTAGCACATGTAAGTGGAGGAAGGTTACAAGGTAAAATTAGACTTCAAAGATGGCACCTGACAACATCAACAACAGAGTTGAACTTCCCTACAGGGTTTCTAATCTTTACCGAAGGCTATAATCTTTACAGAGGCAAACTGCCTCATCTTTCTCCCTCAGAGTGCAGTGGTTGAACAGTTAGCAGATGAACTCTTCACCACTGCACCACCGGGATGCCTTATGTTTCACACTAGAGAGTAAGATTATGTTACCATGAATCAGCAAAACCCCTTGTAGTGGAAATACTCAGATATTCCAATGCGTTGTTACTATGCATGCTACTATTTAAGTTTTTCCTTTGGGAAAAACTACAGAGAAATGGTCAAATGTTCCAGATCTGGAGTCAGGTGGTGTGAGTTCTCTTTCTTGCACAACCTGCTGTGTTACCTAGGCTAAGTCACCTTCAGCCTTGGTCTCCACACTTTAAATTAGAGATGATAACCATTGCCTGAATCCCGCTAGGGGTGTTGTAGGATTACCACCAGGGAAGCTGCTTCCTCAGACCTCACCTCGTAGTGACTGTTACAGGTCTCATTTCTAGGAAACAGCCTCTGAGAAAGAGGTTTGTGTCAGAAGATTTCCTGGGGGTGAGGGGGGGTTGGACTGCGTGTGTGGGGGGAGGCCGCAGACTGAGAAGCAGCTGTCCCTGGGAAGCCTAGAGCTAGGCTGGCCCTCCTGAGATGCCCCACATGGAGGCTCAGGCCTTTATACATTAGTCATCACATTAACTTGTGATTTGAAGATGCCAGCTTCCCCAAACTGACTAGTAACCACACTCCACCAACTTCTAGTCTGCTTAAGCAGGGACTGTTGTCAGAACAAGCATCACAATCATATTTCACCAAGGGTGTGTTAGTGATGGGCTTGTCGGTGAAGGGAGTGTTGCTGAGGGACATGTCGTGAAGGGCATGTTTGGGACGAAACCAAAATGTTCTCCTTTAGAGACAACACCTGTGGTTGAGTTCCATCTCAGGTCCTCAGGGTCAGGCCAGTGGCGTCACGAGGATTGGTGTCACTCCTTCTGTGGGCGGGGCTGGTCAGGGTACCCCAACCTGATGGATAGAGCAGCACTAACCCCATGCAGAGGTGAGCCTGACTACTGAACCTTGCCCTTGTTGCCCCATGCGGCTTCCCACAGAGCCTCCCCTCTCCACTGGCAAGGCGGAGACCCTCCTTTCCACCAATGGTGGGCATCATGGCCTGCCCACTAGCACCCTGACTGGTGGGTGGCTGAGTGGGGGGTGACACCAACCCTAGTGACACAACTGCCTTGGGCCCATCCCCTGCCTGTCCACTGCCATGGACCCTGGGGTCATTTTCTTGTTACTTCCTCTGACAGTTTCATGGGGCTTGGTGTGCACCTCCCACAATTCCCTAGTCCCCAATCTCCTCCAAATGCTGTCGCTCTCCCCTGGGGACTCAATGACATCACACTGTCATCAGGTACACGCTCCTAACTAATGAAGTCCAGAAGAATTTCTCAGCGATGGGGACTCATATTTCAAATATTAAAAAGCCCATTGCCATGGAGTTGATTCCAACTCATAGCCCACCCCATGGGAGAAAGTAGGACTGCCCCATAGGGTTTCCAAGGCTGGAATCTTTATAGAAGCAGAGTGCCTCATCTCTCTCCGGCTGGTGACACACCACAACAGTTTTAAATATAGTAAGCAAAACCAAACAACAAACTACACTCAAGTCTGTTTCTTTAAAGATAACCTTGAAGGTATGAGTCCAGCACAGGCTGATATCTGTTAAGGAAAAGAGAAATTAGATCAAGGGGCTCCTGGCCTTTTCTTCCAGGTGACATGGGAATGTGTTCAACTGTGCTGTGTGTTTTTCAGGTGTCAAGTGTACTTGGCAGGTTTCCTGTAATGCTGTGAGGATCTGGAATATAGACTGAGAAAATGACCATGTGAGCAACTGGCAGCTCAGTGCACAGACACCCATGGCTGTCCAGTCGAGTCTGACGGCGACCTCGCTGAGTGTGGCTCATCGACACTCCGTGTGAGTCAGAGCAGACCCAGGCTCCATGGGGTTTTCAGTGGCTGATTCTTCAGAAGGATATCATCAGGTCTTTTTCTCTAAGGATCCTCTGGGTGGACTAGAACCTGCAACCTTTCGGTTAGCAGCCAAGTGCATTCACTGAGCCGCCAGGGACCCTGCCAGTGCTGAAGACGCTCTCATTTATAATTTGTAACCCAAACCCAGCAAAACTGGCTCTAATTTGATCCCTTTGGAACAAACAAAGTGCTGTTTCTATGAGTGAATGTCCTGTTTGATTCAAATGGCCAGTTAGAGGTAAAAATAATAAGACAGAAAAATAGACCAGTGCCTTCCTGACAGTTTATTTTTCATAAAACTTTTGGCAAGACTTGTAATTAGATGCTTACATCATGTGAGAGACAGAAACAAAGAGATCTACCTACTAGCATCCAAACATGAAGATGTCAGATTCAAAAATAATTTTGAAATGGCACTGTTGGATAGAGTTAACCCTGGTCTTTTTAACATTTGGTACACTCTGAGACAGTGATCAAGTTCTTGACAGTGAAGAGTTAATAAATTCAGCATTTCTAGCCTGCAAGGAGAGTGAGTGCCTTAGACATTCAGTAATCAGACAAGATTTATTCAATAACAAACTTGAGAGAAGAGACCCCTCGAGTGGTTTCTTTCCCGTCTCTACAGGAATAACTCCTGACTTGTCAAACTTACTACTTTACAGAAGAGAAATGGACTTTGCCTCTTAATTTCAAACAGAATGATGTGAAGATGGGCGACATCACACAAGGGTCTCACTCTGAGCGGTTCCTTTATGGATCTCCAGGGGCCCCACCATGTGGAGACGCTCAGTCTGCTCTTCCTTGGTGGCCAAGGGGCCTGCACCCCTCTTACTCCGTCCTGCACAGCCAAGTGCGCAGCGGGAGGAGGAGTGGCCTACTTTGCAGACGGCGATCTCACATTGCAGATAGACCACATCATAGCTGTCGAGAAAGCTGAAGGGGTTGAACTTGAACTGGGCCACGTTCTTGTGGCGGGAGTGGAGGTTGACATAGGTATTGTCTTTGATGCATCTGATGGGAAGAAAAACCCCAGGCCAAAGATTAACTGAAAGCATCCTGTGAATTCACTCTGACTCCAAGAATCAGGCTTAGACTGGAGCTCTGGATCCCAAATGGAGTCCTCCCCCCATGGAGTCTTCCCTTTATAAAGAAACATTACAGGGGCACTTACAGCGTTAAATGCATGTATTAGAAAAGAAGGAAAATCTAAAGTCAGCAATTCAAGCTTCCAGTTTAGGAAACTAGAGAGAGAAGAGCAAATTAGCCCTAAAGCAAGCAGAAGACGGGATGGATGTGAAATTCTGGCACCACACTGAGCCTCTCCCTATTCAGCTGTAAGCAGCACTGAAAGGAGTGCTTTCCCACGCTGTGACTCTGAGCTGTTTAGTGTCACGTCTGCACACCTCCCAGAGCCATGGCTCACACCACCTGTGGAAGATGCTGTAGCCTGCTCCACCCCTGGCTTTGGAAAACAGGCCCTCACCACTATCCTCTCGTGGGCTTTGGGCTGCTGCAGCTCCTCCCACTCCAAAGATGCCTTTGACATGATCCATTCCTAAGCATTTAGCCCATTAGGGAACAAGGGAGCTATAAAGTCAAACCACCTGGCTAAGTTCTGGCTTGGCGAATCCTTTGGTTAACCAAAGGATCCAGACTAAATCTCTCCACTGGAACTAAGTGCCTTCCCTGGGTTAAGCCGCCAGCCCATCAGTGTAGGCCCAAAGCACTGAGGGCCTGAACCATGAAGGAGGAGTCTAAGGAAACTGTCAAATGAGCAAGGAAAGGAGGCTTGAGCTGAAAGGGTGGGGTGGGCCAGCACAGCCGGGGCAAGGCCAATGCCCTGAACTCTTAGGGGATTCAAGGGGGGGCTGTTCAGACTGTCTGTAAGTATTTTGGATCAGAGGGAGAGGCAGGGTCCCACTTTGACCTCTGGGACATGATAAGGATTCTTTTGCACAATGTTAGGATTTAGAATTCCCCTTGACAAGTCACAGGCTCCCTAAATGCCCCATGAATCTGACAAGCAACCCAGGGGAGACTGTCGTTCTCCTTACCCATGGTGGATCAACTCGTACTTGACAGTTGTAAAATCCCGGGGATCTGGGGAAGCTATACAGGTGTCCACAAACACCATCAGGTTGGGATCGTGGCTGTGGACAGTGGCTTGGAGGAAGACCTCTTTCCTCTGGGTGGCATAGTGTGGTCTCATGCCTCTCCTATGATGGGACGTGGGTGACTCAAGGAACGTTATGGACACATCATAGCCAGCCCCCTCGCTTGGGGCATCAGCCCCATGCACAGTTTCACCTGCTGAGGGCCGGTCCACCCTGCAGGTGAACTTCAGCTGAGGCACCTTGTGCCGCACAATGACTCGGCCAGGGTGGCCACGTATTCGGCCTCTAACAGAGTTGGAGTAGCTGTGGGAGCCGAGGTGTTCCTGTGAGGACGAGATGAGCGTTGGTGACCAGAGCTCCTGACAAACACCTTCCTTTATAAGCAAAGATCTCTCCTTCACCCCCTTTGCTTGGGACCAATTTAATGACTTGCCAGAGGGCAGGAGCCCCAGGCATGATCTCTGTGGTCCTTAACCATGAATGGGGTGACATCATGTCCTCTCTTCCTGGAGTCCAGGGTGTAGGCAGGGAGCCCCCAGTTGTGTGAGCCTCTCCCTTTCTCCCTTCTGTGAGGGCCAAGCTGGGGTGGTGTGTAGGGTGCGGGAGGTCTACGCTGGCTGGGGGTCTCACCACCTGGGAGCTCCTGCTCTGCCAAACTCCTTCCACATAATCCATTCTCCTGGGAATACTTGTTCTCTTGACTTCAAAGTCATTGGTTTGTGAAATAAGCAGGTGGATAAGGAAAATTAGATTGAGCTGTGTATTTTAATGTATGTAAATATCTAGATATTTGCTTTCATGATTGCAATACAGAGCCAGCCAACTGGTAAGAAACATAGCAGCAGACAAATGGCCAGGTAATCTGTCTAACCCTGTGCTCAGTGCCATAGTTTCCTATGTGAGTGCACTTTGTAGGTGATCACTAACGTGAAAAATGTGACGTACATGATGTGAAAATGGTTTTGGTTTTGGAGGTAAGAGAATATTATCCATCCATCCCTCCCTCCATCCATTCATCAGTCCACCAATATTCAGCACTTGTTACTGTGACAAAAGCTTCAATGTGTATCCCAAAAGGAAGGAGAGCTTCAGAGAAATTAGGGAGCTGCTCCAGGTCTCATCAAACACATAAATGAAGTCCTGGCTCATACCTTTCCTCTGTTTCTAGCCAGGCTTTTAACAGGTGGTTGAGTTTTCCAGACCCCTCCATCCACAGCAGGGTATCACCACCTTGTCAGTTTCTTACCTGCCACACAGTACCACAGCGGCCATAAGGAATGTTGAAGATCAGGTAGCGCCCTGTGACTTGGGGGCGACACAGCTCATCATTTAAGTGGATGTCCCAGGAGGAGTAGCCCAACCTCCAGAGATAACCTCGGTCAATGGTGGCTTGGAAGTGGTTAGGCAGGCAGGAAAGCTGGGCTGTAGGAGAAGGGAGATGGTGAGACCCTCTCAGAGGGACTCTGGCCCCCTGGACATGTAGGTCAGGGGTGTGGGCATATGTTTACTTTATAAAAGTACCCGGGACAGTGCCGTAGCTGGAGCTGGCTTTGCTTTCATCACCCCTGTCCTTTCATTGACTTTTTTATTCCCTTCCTTTTCCAAAAAGGCTTTGGAGGACCATACAGCCACGGGCAACCATACCCACACACACATCCCAAGGTCAGCAGTCAGAGCCTCATCTAAGGAGTTAAAGGGCAGCTCATTTCACATGTTGAGAACACCTGCGTCTGGGCCTTTGCATGAGAGGTAGGTTGGAAAAGGATGGAGGAAGCAAAGGGGTAGGGAGCACAGGTGCCAAGGGATCTTTTCTTAACGTCTTAAAGCCCAGTGAGTGGGTGGAACTACTAGAGATCTCAATGGAAACACAGCCTCCTTCTTCCCCAGACAGCTGCTCTCTCAGCTCCCCCTTCCAGCAGCCTCGGGCCCTAGGAAGGGAGAAGAATTTACCATTGTCCTTGGGTACAACAGAGCCACCTGGTCCTGGTGAGGAGAGAAAAACAAAGAGGAAGTGTGAACTGTGCTGACACACTGGAAGACGTTGGGGTAGCCACCAGCCAACACCAAATGCAGGTAAACAGGCTCATTTGATTTAGCTGTTAGAACCAGAGTATAATGGTGTGAGAATACTCCAGGGCCAATGAAAAGGAAAGAGGGTCCAGGGCTTTTGGTGGAGCTGGAGGCAAGGATGCTGATTGTAGAAGGTAGGGTTGAGAATACAGGTATCATCAGTACCAAGACTTGCTGGAGTAAGAGAACAGCAAATACAGGGCTCTGTAGGACCAAATACCACCCATCACGTGAACTCTGGCTGCTGTCCCTTTCTGTGCACATGGCACTTAAGTCTGGGGAAGATGTGGTTTTTGGCTACCAAAGACTTCCTCTTCCAGAAGTCAGAGCAGTAACCCAGGGCCATAGCCTAGCTCTGGAAGCATGGCCGGCTAGATTCTCCCAACCTCTTCAGACACCCCTGGGTGGTCCTTTGGACATCTGTATCTGATGAGAAGCAAGCCTTTTGGTACACAATCCAAGAATGGAAAAATGAATTACCATTTAGAGTGGGTCCCCCGATGGCACCTGGGAAGGCTGGAATTGCAAACAGATACGATAAAATGAAGATCTGGGAGGCAAGGACCCCAGGAACCCCAGTGCAGACTCAGACTTGACTCTCTGCATGATTAGTGTTTGTCTTAAAAACTCTGATAGCTTTTCTATTTGAGACCCATTTTAGAACAAGAGTTACTCCTCTTTAAAGGCAAAAACCATGACAACAATGCCTTTGATTTCACTGTAAACAACTAGGAATGGACCAGACAAGAGGAGCACTGGTTCCTGCACCAAATGTTATGCAACACCTTATGCAGGTCAGTTGAAGGAATTATGACTCTACAGGGAGGTGGGCACCTGTGGACCTCAGAAGGTCAAGACAAACATAGGCCGGAACAGAAGATATAGGCCAACTCTTGGATGAAGGGCCATGAAGGAACCCAGGATGAACTAGGGTGTCTTTCTGACTCCTGAGGGCTGGGCCAAGGTGAGGAAGAGTGTCCACCCAGAGTTGTGCCCTTTGACGCCCTCATCAGAGATTGCAAAGTGGACTTGGCAACAGGTAGTCTGACTGATAGCAGCGTCTTCGATCTCCTTAATCATTTACTGCACTGGCACGCCATCCTTTGACCTCACAATCCTTTAGCTATACTGCAGAGCAAAAAGACTAACATTGTAGTGCATTGGAATTAAACAGACCTGAATAATGAAATCCCAAACACATATAATTAAAATATTGACCACAAAGCTTACACAACACCAGTTGTAAACCAGTTGCCCTCAAGTCACCTTGGACCCAGAGCCAGCCCATGTGCGTCACAGCAGAACTGCGCTCGGGGTTTTCAATGGCTGGCTTTTCAGAAGCCGATCTCCAGGCCTTTTTTCCAAGGTGCCTCTGGGAGGACTCTGCCTCCAAACCTTCCTTAGCACCTGACCATGTTAACCACCATTTGCACTACAGGGGAACTCCTTATGCAACACATATGCCCTAAATGGTTTCTTTTGTTATCCTTGCATCAGTGGTCCCAGATAAATCTGATATTCCTTGGGGTTGTGAAATTTGACCTTGGAATGCTTGGAGAGGAACGGAAGCACCAATCAGGGGGTGGGCCCTAGCACAGAGAATGGGGACCCCAGGGCCTGGGGGTGTGACGCGGGAGCTCAGTACCTGCGCAGACCACGCTTGCATCCTCCCCGTGGCGGCAGTTGTGGCGAGCCCAACCCGCGTGGGTGCAGGACTCCAGTGCATCCTCGTTGCCCACACAGCGCACGTCGTCCAGCAGGATGGGCCCTGAGCCCGGGCCGAAGTGGCTGTGCCCTGGGGCGCCCAGCGCCTGGCCACAGCCCAGAAGGCGGCACACGACCCGGGCATTCTTGATGTTCCAGTGATCGTCACACACCGTGCCCCACACTCCCTGGTGCTGGACCTCCACGCGGCCTTCGCATGGGCCCCGCCCATCTGTCAGGCGCAGGCGCAGGTCTTGGGGCGGCAAGAGAAGAATTCAGATAAGAAGAAACTGGATGGGTTTCTGCGCTTGGTTGGCATTTCAGTGTCATTTATTATTTGCAAAAGAAGAAACTTAACACTGGGATGCACATGGGTCTATGAATTGAAATCAATTTGAAGGTACCCTCAAACTGTTAGATGTCTGCAGGAGGTATCCAAGCAAGTGTCTTCTGAGTAAGAGACTAGAGAGACTGCAAGGAGAGAGACCAAGGAGAAAAGAGGGTGCTGAAAACCACTCCTCAGTGTAGGCACACAGCCAGCGAAGCCACCCAGAGACGCCACAGGCCAGTAATGTGTGTGAGTGGAGTTCTAGGGCTGGAGGACAGTGGGTGAGGGGCAGGATGGGACAAGGGCTGAACAACATCTCAGCTTGTCTGTGGCACACAGGAGCCAGGGTCATAAGAAGGGAGAGCCGTTCCTACCGATGGGACATCCAGGAGTCCTGGGAAGGTGGAGGAACGGAATAACCTGAGCACGTGGTGACGCTCAGCACCAAACGCAAGACTGATTGGGGGTCTGTGCACTGACTGTTCCCTGTGTCTGGGATGTTCTGTCCCTAGGTGTTTGCATGGGTACCTACTTCACATCCTCGCTCAAATGTCACTCTCCCCATGAGGCCTATCCCGACATCCAAATTAAAACCATACCTGCGTCAGCTCTTCCAATCCTCCTTCCTTGATCTGCTTTTAATTTTTTCTATGGCACTAATCAGCTCTTAAATGTCAGAAACTCTACTTGTTTTTTTTATTTACTGGTTAATGCCTGTGTTCTCTCTGGAATACAGAGAGGTGTAGCTCATAGTAGGTCCTCAGTACGTTTTTATTACGTGACTAAAGTTATTAAAGGCGCTCTGGTGGCATAGTGCCTAAGGCACTTGACTGCTACCCAGAAGGCTGGCGGTTCAAACCCACCAGCCATTCCTCGGAAGGAAGATGGGGCAATCTACTTCTGTAGTGATACTGCCTTGGAAACTCAAGGAGGGGTCACTATGAGTCGGGCCTGACTCGATGGCACATAACACAATAACAAAGTTATTAAGAAAATAGAGTAAATGGAAGATGAAGTGGCGTGATCATACCTTCCCTCCCAGCCCTGCCCCAGGAAAGAGTCTGCTGAGGTGTGTGTAAGGACCCATGAAGAGAGATGTGGAGGCTCTACTGGCAGGGTGGGAAGGAGGAAACACTGTGAGGAAGAGGAAACAGCTGGATCAGAAGGCGATGTCACGGAGGAAGCTGTGTTCCTGGGTGTGTAGCACCCTGACCAATGCCAGCCTGTGGCAGAGGCGCCTGCCCCCACAACACAGAGGCTACCTATACACCTATACACGAGTGATGACTTCCCCAGAAGAACGTTAATATGGGGGAGATGCTATTCCCAGGGTTTGGAGACAGTTCCATAAACGACCTACACCGGTTGACAGAGATGTGTGTGCACACACACACTGCTGTGTCTGCACAGAAACTTCTAGAAGCTCATGACATTTGTCTGTCAAGAGTAAGAAATTTGATTGTAAAAGAAATATGCACCTCATGGTATTACTAGGGATAATAAGTTTAGGGCTTAGAAATAAACAAAAATTACCAGGTAATGGGGCCACTTCTGCACCCACTGAAATTGTAACTGTAAAGAAAGAAAGAAAACTTTAGAAAATGCCTCTAGCGGTGGTGTAATAATTTGGAAAACGATGGGGGTGACAGTTATGCAACGTGATGAATATAATCAATGTACTGAGTTGTACATGTAAAGATTGTTGAATTGGCAAATGTCTGGTTATATATATATATATATATATATATATATATATATACCACAATAAGAAAACACTACAGTCAAAGTCACATGTTTATAGTCAAAGCTGAAAAAGAAGCAAATGTTTTCTCTTATTTCAGACACCAGTGCTTTTGTTTACGATTCTACTTCGGTTTAGATATAGCAATACTGTCCATAAAGTTTTATTTTCTCGGCATCAAAATTTAACAAGTCATGGTGTATCTTGTTGATTATCCAACAGTAAAAGAATTTGTTAAATTATCAGAAGTGTTATGAGTATAGAAGTTTTGTAAAGAAGACTAAAAGAGTGTTATGGTTTGGAGGAACCTGTTTTACATGACCTCAAAGTGCAGAAGTGGGTCTAGGGAAAATTGAGCCTGTGGCATTAGTTTTCAATTGCTGAATGATCGCTCACGGCTGGCAAGGGAAACTGTGATGGCCAGTAGGAACTGCTCACTGGTGCCCCACCTCAAGTGGTGCCCAGGGCATGTGCTATACCGGCCACACCTTCGAGGCACCACTGTGAAAATTAAAATTAAGAAAATCAAGTCATCAAGCAATATTTTCAGATGAGAGAAAGATCATATCTAAAAGGTGTGATTCCCTAGTGATAATAAACAGAGGAAAGTAAGGTGGGAAATTTAATAATGATTAATGATAGAGTACAGTAGTATAAATTATTATGAAACTGGGAGTTAATCTAGCAGCAGGCAGATATTATTACCAGGTAATGCTGTCATTTTGGTTGGAACTGGATCCGTGGCTGTAAAAACAAAACAGAAAACCAATAAACCTGTAAAAACTTACTGCTATTGAGTCTATTCTGACTCATGGGGACCCCATGTGTTACACTATGTTAATTCTACCCTAGTTGTTATCTGATCCTGGGCAAAATTTTCTCTTCTGAAGTATCTGTGTCTTCCCATGTAGAAACATAGACTGTAGAGTGACCTATTCCAGAGGGTGGTGTGAGACTCAGTGAGGCCATGTGTAAAGTACCCATACTAAGCACGTGCTGCATAGATGTTAGTTACTGTCTCACCATCATTGTCACCTCCTGCTGCTTCTTCTCCTCCTCCTCTTGCTTTTTCTCCTCCTCTTCCTTCTCCTTCTTCTTCTCCATCCTCCCCCTCCTCCTCCTCTTCTTCATCATCATCATCATCATTATCATCATTATCATCATCACCATCCTCTCTAGGATGGTTGACATCCTTTCCTGGGGAAATAAGAAATATCCACCCTTGGTATGTAAGACCCTGATGGACTGGGGTTTCTTGCAAAGTCATCGGGGCAGAGAGCATACCTGGAGAAGAAGCTGCTTCATCTGAAGTGGAAGTTGTATCTGCAATAAAGAACTAAATTCAAATGTCAGTGGAAAGAAAGCGCAATGTTTTGGTTTGACCAATAACATGGATGAAAGTTAGTGGCTGAAATAGAAGAGAAAGTGGGTAGAAGCAACACTACAGCAGCCTAGGCCTAGTGTGTACATGTCACTGTGCAGGCTGGGTCAAAGCTTGACTGAAGGCAATGTGCACACCTCCAGACAGGTGCCCTTTCATGGGCACATCTGATCAAGAACAGAGCCACAGGCAGATGTGGTCCCTAGTGGAGGGGCCGTTTCTGTGTCCATAGATGAACACAGAGATCATGGAGCTTAATTTCTAGTCAAAAGGACAGAGAGGTTTCCCTCTATGTTGGGGCTCATGATGTAGATGAAACATTCTTTTCTCACAGAAGAAGGGAAAGTTGATCATATTTAACTTAAGAAATTTGGTAGGTAGAAAACATTACCTGAGGGAGTGTCCATTTCTGCAGAGTTTGAAGATGCATCTGTGTATAAACAGAGCAAACAGGACCCTGGGTAACTAGTGGAAGGACACGCAAGTGTGTCATTTTCCACTGAGGTTTATTTTGTGTTCAAAATGGCCATTGAATAGGCTCATTTTCTAAACATTGTTGTTGATGATGAGTTGATTCCAACTCATAGCCACCCCATGGAAGTAGAGTCTCCAAGGCTGTGACCTTTTGGAAGCAGGTTGCCAGGCCTGCCTTGCGCATTTCTGGGTGGGTTTGAACTGCCAACCTTTTTGGCCAGTAGTCAAATATTTAACCATTTGTACCATGCAGGAGAAGTTGATCACATTAATTTAAACAGCACAATGTGAGAATCTTTACCAGATGGTGAGGTCACTGCTGCTGACACTGAAGAGGTATCTATAGATAAAGAGAAGAAGAAACCTAAGTACCAGAGAACAGGACTCTTAGATTTCTGGTTTTACTGAGATTTATGTTGGGGGCAATACTTGCACAAAACAGCCTAGTTTGCTAAGTAGAATTCCAAGAAGGGATACTTAACGGGACCCCACAGAGTGTTTTACCTGGTGCAGAGGTCACAGCTGCTGACATTGATGCTGCAGATGAACAAAAATAGAAAAGGTAACAATCAGATAACTGTATTAGGCACACATGTTCAATAAAGTACAGGAGATGCAAAGGTGGCCATCACAGATCAGTGGGACTGGCCAGGCATGGAGTCCTGCTGCCCAGAGAGGGTGTCCTCCAGTGCCTCCAAGCCTCTCTGCCCTCCTCAGCCTCCATTCCTCAAGCCCCACCATTCTCCCCTTAGAGGTGGGGCACATGACAGCGTTGGAGAGCAACAGTCCAAGGCTCTCCACTGTGTGGGGCTGACCTCACCAGGAGTCTATGCATTGGGGATTTGCCTCCACCTCTTTCTGTTCTTTGCCCCATAAACTGGTGAGAGGCAGCGGACCTGCAGACCAGAGCCTTCCTTATGTGGGTTGTTCCAAGACCTAGACTGAGGGTGAGAAAGGGCTAGCAAGCCTGTCTGGCTCTCCTACTAACTATTGTCTTCCAGAGGAGCTCTGGTGGCATAGTGCCTAAGGCACTTAACTGCTAACCAGAAGGCTGGCGATTCAAACCCACCAGCCACTCCTCGGAAGGAAGGTTGGGCAATCTATTTCTGTAGTGACACTGTCTCGGAAACCCAAGGAGGGGTTGCTATGAGTCAGGTTTGACTTGATGGCATATAACAACAACAATAACATTGTCTTCCAACCCAGCTTTTAAGTAAGAAAGGCCATATTTTGATATGCCATCTGCTGACTCTGATGTTTTATTTCTCTGTCAGTGTTAATAGAGTTAGAATAATTTTAGTGCTTAGAAACAATAAAAAATTAGCAGGTGAAGGGGTCACTT